ATATATTTTTCTGATTGCAGAGATTCTGCTTGATCGATTGGTGTGAAGAAATTGATATGTTAGTGGTCAAAGCTGAGGGTACGGTAGGTTTGAATGTACCAACCTCTATAGCATCACAAAAATAGCCATATGTCCTCGCAGAGGCGGAATTTTCCAGTGAGCTTTCATTTTCAGAAAGCAGAGATTCTGCTCGATCGAATGATGTACAAACATCAATATGTTTCCGGGCAAACTTGAGAAGACGGTAGGCTTGAATGTATCAAACCTATATTTCTATAGTAATGTATAATAAGCATTGATCTATAGTGATCAATTGCATATCAATGAGCACCTCAGCACTAGTTGAGATAGCTTCAATAAAATAGCTATACCTCCTCAACTAAGCAAAATCGCCCGACAAAATATATATTTTTCTGAATGCAGAGATTCTGCTCGATCGACTGGTGTGAAGAAATTGATATGTTACTGGTCAAAGCTGAGGGTACGGTAGGTTTGAATGTGCCAACCCCTCTAGCATCAGAAAAATAGCTATATCTCCTCGCAGAGGCAGAATTTTCCAGTGAGCTTTTCATTGTTGGAAAGCAGAGATTCTGCTAAATCCAATGATGTACAAACTTGAATATGTCTAGGGGCAATCTTGAGAAGACGGTTGGCTTGAATGTACCCATATTTCTATAGTAATGTATTATACGCATTGAATACTTGAGTACACTAATGCAAAAAAAATCGTTGATAATTCACTAATCCGATTCAAAAAGATGCCTTGTGCGTCGATCAGTGATGAGACAAGTTTCTATTATCGTATTGTACCTCAAGGAGCGTTAACATCTCGAACCGGAAAAAACATCAAGATTTCCGTCAACAGTGTGTCATGTAACTCGTCAGAATCTTCCAATAAATCACGGACAACTTGAATCCAAATACCGTTGCAAAGCAATGGTAGTGAAATATATGAAGATTGATGATTATTGTTCTTTCAAACTGCATTACATCTGGTCAGGTGGTGGTGGAAAGCGATTGGTAGATTGCACTTGAATCAGGTTCTCGTCTCTGAACCTGATCAACTCGCATGACTGATATTCACGAAGCGCTATTCAAAAAAATAATTTTTTGTCCTAATTGGAACCAATCTTTCGGATACGTGGGTTGAAGACGAAGGATAGACTATATTGGCATGAAGCGCAGTTTCGATTCCTTCAGAAGTGAGGATCGGTCAGGAATAAATAATGCTTTACTTTCATACAAGAATCCGACTTGAATATGCCGAAACTTTCTAAGGATTTCTGCAAAGATTCTTCAACGAAATTTCAGGTTTCATAAAGCATTCGAAAGCGTGTGAGAAACTAAATCTGAAAAATCAGAGAATTTCCATTAGCATCCGAAATGCACGCGGCGAGCTGGAAACATTTTAATGACACGAAATGAAATACACTTTAATAAATAAAAAATTATTGCATGGATATTCTCAATGTTTTTTTGAAATATCAACTCTTCATACATCTTATAAATGAAGAAATTGAATTCCTACAAATATATTAATTAAAACATTGAAAATTTTTGATGAAAAATTGCTCACATTAAGTTTATAATCAGTAACGAAAGAAATCAACCAGTATCGGTTAATTGAAAATATTGACATAAACAGATTTCACATGAACATTGCTATTAAAACAATAATAGCTTTAAAATTCAAAATGGATATAATCGTCCAGAACGCTTCGAAGACTCAAAAATCTCACGTAAATTTTACGGGAATATCATCTCTTACGCCTCAATCAAGGGTAGAGAAGGCGTATGCTAGAATGTGGCCTCTTAACTTTCAGGTATGTAAATGAATCAATTAAAGTAAAATGCGCATAATGACAAGAATAATAACGATAATAGTACAAATAATCATACGATTGACAATCTAAACGAATAATTAAGTTGAAACTGCTGATGGATTTGCAGTAACTGTGAATAGTAAACTTGCTCGATAGATGATAACGCGGCAAAAAGCAAAAGAAGTAGATGCACATGAAAAGATTGCTAGAATAAGGTGACAATATCCGAGTTTCATTTGAAAGGCAGATGACAATCAAAAACACAACTGTACAACCAAAAACAAATTATGTAGATTGTCAAAAAAGAGCAGTCAAGCGTTGAAGAAACTCAACGCTACAGTGGACCAACGATGAAGACATGAAGAAGAAAGGACATTTTTATGGAGGGACTTCGTTATGAGATTACACAAATTCGATGAAACCTGATCATAATTGAGAACTGAACCGACTGAGAATATTGCTAACAAATTGTAAAAGCAATTTGAATGCACTCCTGCAAGATAATTTCGGTAATCTGACTGAGGATAAGCAATGAAATTCAATGCATTTCATCAATATTTGATTGCTTTTCACTTCGCGAAATATGGAATATATGCAGATCAAATAAACCAGATTAAAGTTCAGCTGGTGAAGATAATAAGTTAAATTTTGGCATATAGTGAGATGATTTGGTGCATCGTGATCGATATCTCTGAAAGAGCATCTCTAAAGAGCACATGCGAACTGGACATTAGTTGAACAACCTATGTATGAGTCTGATCCGCATAACTCGAATGATCATCAGGAGGGTATTTTCATGAATCCATCAACTCGTTTCTTCACCTCGCTGATGATTAAAACACAATCAACAATAATGATACAGTGATAGCAGCTCATGTTGAGCATCAACACAGTTTATGAACCATTTGATGATATACATTACAATATTGCAGTGGAAATATCGATAATGAAAATACAAATAATTAGAAAACTAATCTTCAAATTGAAAACTGAAACCAACTGCAAAAAATAGTAAATTTAAAACCAGTGTTTGTGGACCACAAACGTGCAGGCAAAAACATGTACCGAAAAACAGTGACTGGGAAACGACTCATAAAAGATTACTTAAATCAAATAATTCACTCAAATACAAACACTTCCTCTCAGAAAAAACGTGACAGATTGATTTAAATGAATATGCTATCCCATGAAAAAGCACAGATTATTAAATGACAGGATATAAAAATAAGAATAATTAACAACTTTTATAGGTCATTTCCACCAGAAACTTATTAAAGCAATGTAAAGAATCATAATAATAAATTATTTCAAAGCTACATTTCATTCACGTCAATATGTGTATGTCAATCGTCTCTAATATATAAGATAAAATCACAATCAAAACCATTCGAATTGCAAAATGAATTAATTTATTTACCAAGTTTCAAGGCAACATTTCGCTATGTCCGTGAAAGACAAATAAAAAACGACGACAGCTTTACACTACTCAACAATAACACAAACACAACAGATCGCTAAGTGTTTTTTACGAACATTTCTATGCATATATGACACAACAGATCAATCGCTAAAGACTGATCGAATTTTCAAGTCGAAACCCGTACTGAACCAAGATATCGGTGGATTCAAAAATGTGCATGGATTATAAGTTGAACAAATGGAAATTTTCACTGAACACTTGAATACAATTGACAACAACCACTCAAAACCAAATATACAGGAAGCGATCCATTATAGATTAATAATAAAAGAGGCATGGTCAATCAAAGAGAAGATCTGATTAAGGATGAGCTGAGAACAATGAACAAACAAAAAGGAACACAACGTGCCGTAGAGGAACGAGAGGAGCGTGAGACAGCAACGAATGGATAATCGGTTATTATGAAACAAGGGCACTTTTGCAACCGGCTGTTATCTACTCAGCTTGCATGCTTTCAATTTCACATTTACACTCTTCCTTCCTGCCTTACGGCAAATTGCATTTACCTTAAACGGAATGTGAAATGAACCTGGCATGTCAGCGAGATCGAACTGAATTTTAAAAATGTGCCCTGATACATAAGGATGTCCAGAACGGTGACGTGGTCAAAAGGAGGAGATATGATGAACTGAATTCACATTCAAAGAGTAGATCAAGAAACATTCGGTTGGGTGTCTTTGTTCCTGAATGCTTCGTTTTCGATGAATCCTCTTAAACGATCCAAATAAGCAGCATGCAATTCCACGTCGTTATGACCTGCACCTGCTACCCACAGCGGTTCCACACTTGATGGACACTGCTCATAAATGGATACTCCATGTGAAAAATCTATCACCTACAAACGAATTTGTAAGCTATAATTTGAATCGATCTCACCCGATCACTTTCTACTTGCATACAACAAATTTGAGAACCAACTGGCTATGAAACAACTCCACGATAACATTTAACAGAGCAAACGATCCAAATCTAAATATTCACCTCATCATCGGTTCCATGAATAACCAATGTCGGACAACGAACACGAGGAATTTTCTCGATCGATGGAAATGCATCACAACACCATGTTCGTTGAGTACCCGGGAATGCAACACGCATTCCTGACATCAACGGCGAATGCAAAATCAACGCTGCTACCGCATCTTCAACACTCGCCAAATCTACACTTGGTACAGTACCTTAAAAACATTTCGAAACAATAACTTACAACCAATGTTATTGAAGCTGAAGCAGGCTTAATCCAATTGAAAGTGAAATGAACACAGACACGAATACTAATAAAGAATTAGCAAAATACACTTCCAGTAAGTTACCTATAGATTGTCCATAAAGGATGACACGATCAGATGGCATCTGGTAACGTGACTTTAGTGCCGCCAATGCAGCTGCTATATCTGCATATAAATTTTTTTCCGACGGTTTTCCACCGGAACAACCATATCCTATAGAGAACGAATAATTAAAACATTTGTTTAAGCAGTCGTTGAAGAATTCCAATTTTCATTATTATGCCATATCACAGCTGATAAGCAATCATACAAAGCACATCGTTTTCGACGAGAATCATTGACAACAAAACACTGTGCAAATTATGACAAAAAACATATATCTTTAAATGGCAAATATGTAACTTAGCATGAAGGAAATCGTCCTTATAGTAAGAGCATTGGAAATTCCAACGCAAGATTTTATATTTACGAATGATTAAGTCATCAATGGATTATCATTGTAACAAAATAAAATGCAAATCATTTAACAAAAATACAATACAAGCCTCACCAGAATAATCATAACTAAAAACATTGCAACCGAGGCGGAAACCAAGACCATAATAAAAGCTGCACATTTGTCCTAAATCGACTGCATTTCCGTGCGAGAAAAGCAATGTGAAATGAGCATCTCCGCACGGTTTCACATACATACAAGCTATTTTATTCCTAAAATCATAAAAACTCAACGATTTAGTCAACAAAAATGATTATTTGTTCTCACAATCGAAACATATATAGGACCAACTTAAAATAAACTATAAGTGAAATGCATTGAAATTGAACTGAGAAAAAATCATACAGTTATATTCCAGAAATGATATCAAAATACATTACGGATGAATAAATAGATGTTTAATGCAATAAACCTCCTTCGGGTTCGCGTGTAGAATACGTCCACATTTCGTAATTCATCGGCTCCATGTGGCCAATCTGCACGTCCTTCCACCAATTCTAGCCATGTACTAGAAAGTTGCAAACTGAATATAGCACTGAACGTTTTCAGGAATATAATGAATGCAACTAGCTCTATAATAAACTGATGTGGCCAATTTCACTCACTAAGAAACCCATCGAGAGCGATCAAGCTGTTTTGCTTCAATGGAACAATGATTCATAACAACAGACACGTACGTAACGAGAAATAAGCTGGAAACATACTGTTGAGAATCGTGTTGCACGATGCGATAACTTGGTTCGGGTGGCATGAAAGCCAGCTTTGAGACAATCGAAGAAGGTAGTGGAGGACAGCAAAATAAGCAACACAGATCTTTTAATGAAACTCTCCCAGCACTTTGAGCTGTTCCTTGAGCTACAGTTGACGATTCACTTGTCGACTGCATTATTCACTTATAACCATCAGAAAGTATTGCAGTTACCAACTAATTAAACGACTGTTGCTTAAATTAATGAATCCAAACTATTCATATGATTACTGGCTCTCTTCTGCCTAAAACAGCATTAATAAAAAGATATGTACGTCAATTCCGCTGTACAGTTAAACAAAGACAAAAACTGAACGTCGATGGCGTTTAGTAAACGAATATTTACAACCTGAAACATACAAGCAGAAATATTCCGAATAAGCTGGAATAAGAAAAAAGGGACCTTGTAAAAGGCAGTTCTGATTTAGCTACTGAGGTAGAAGGATACAACTGAAGTGCATGGCTTAAGTTTTGAAATCATTATTGCAACTTTCAAAAATCAAAGAAAATGGAACAAATTTTTAATCACTAATCGCTTCATTAAAATTATTACGCACGAATGCAACTAATAAATGTTATTCCCTTCGGTCGCCTACCCGCTTGGTTTATGCCATTCCCGTTTCTCGCGCTGGAGCTTACATTATGCCAAGGAACTAATCTTACAACATGTGCCGAATTTCAGCCCATAATCAAACTTAGATTGCAACTCCACTTTATGAATTTGCGATGAGCGGACGAATGGTCGAAATCATCGAGTGAACTCTTCTGTGTATACTCACACTTCGCCAATTACAAACAGAGTAACATTCTGCTGAGTGTTCGCACTGACATTTTTTTGATCAGAGTTAAGAAATGTGAATTTCTACCCATTTAACAAGAATCAATGCGGGCAGTTCTTACACCATTGCATAGCGCAGATCCAGTAGAATAAAATGTGATGTATAGGATTGAAAATAATAGCGACATAATCGAGTTCTTCCATTTGGCTTGAAATGCAAACGTTGAATAAAACATTGAAATTTTTGTCCACCCAATAAGAAAAGTTCATAACCAAGATGTACACCATGTTGTAGCCGAGATTAATTAATTAACAACCACCTGACGAACTTTGACCAGAAATGTCACGTTACGGAAATTATGTTGTATGGAATGATCAGTGACGATGTTCAATAGTCACAATTGGCACATACTAGAGTAATTGAAATTCTCTTCGTCCTGAGAGAAACAGTTGGTAAGGAAGATGTATATCATCTTGCAGTCGAGATTCAGTTGTTTGCAACAGCGCGATAGATATACTGAATAGGGGCACAGATTTGTCATTCACGAATTCGAACAAAGCGCAACGTAAAACGGAATATCAAATATCAGCAAAATACAACACCAAGAAAAAGTACGATGTCAGTGGATTCCCTCTGATGAAATGACTGAAGTTTCTAATGTTCCGAAATAATTACTTGTGAACAAGAAGTATTGTGAATTGTGCACTAGATTCACCGAGCACAGATTCGAGCAAAATATAATATACGGAAATCAGAATGACTGCCAAACTACAATCTATCAACATTAAAATTCCAAGATTATCAGCAACATGCCTTGCTTATTAGCTTCATAACGTCTGAACTAGATGACTGATCTGTCCAACATATACCAGTTATGACCACTGAACGTCATCACTGATCATGCGAAATACCATAATTCTCGTAACTTGACGTATACGGTCAAAGTTCATTACGTTTTTCTAAGGTGCGCAATCTCGGCTACAAGATGGTACACATCTTGTTTATGAATGTTCTTTGTCTAATGAATAACAGTCACAACTATTTCTTGAGCCGTTATGCTTCAAACCAAACAGAAAATCTCGAAAATATCTTTATTGCTGCCCACAATATTACCTGGATTGGCCAGGTTATCAAACATTTGTAACGTTGCTGGCAATAGTACTCGCGTTTCCGTTCGCACTGTTTTAGTCTTGATTGACGCCATCCCGCTGGCTAGGCGAGCAGGCCAAGTGAGCACAACCGAGTATTTAATTAGTTGCCGTGAATACTTTGCATAATTAAACGTAGTCAAATACCAATCCAATAAATAATCATAACTCTACAAAATAAATATTCCGCCGATCGCTCACAGCGATCAACAAAATAACCACTCGATGTGCAAGTAACAAGTAAATCGCCCACTACATATCTCACATTTTATTCACCTATATCCACTCTACAAAATGATATAGATATCGCTCGGCTTTATTCCCGTGAAATGGGTAAGAAATTCACATTTCTTAACACCTATCTAATAAGAATGTGAGTTTCGCTGATTGCCAGACTGTTAATCCGTTCATAATTGGCGAACTGTCCACATACTAAATAACCAAGTACTGCTCTGTAAGGGGCCTACTTGATAGGGAGTTGAATGTCCGTTACCTGGGAAGCGGATTATAAAATTAAGCATCGCTGAGGAAGCGTAAAAACTTTCAAAGTATTGCGGTTAGATTCGCTACTGCTTGTTGAGGTTCATTCGTAAGTGACACGCTGAATTAGATAGAATCTGGAAGCGTATTTGCAATAATTCGTTGTTTAATATATCACGCAATGGCGCAGGCGGTTAAGGACGAGAGGTTCTACTCGAGTAAAACCATCCTTGCACCAATGGTGCGTGCTGGGCGAACTCCGCTTAGGTATGTTGTTACGTTTGCTCAAGATGAAATTCTTGTTCACTTTATGAGGAAATAGGATGCGTTCCTTTTTTTTTCAGACTCCTTGCCCTTGAATATGGTGCAGACTTAGTATACACGGAAGAAATTGTGGATCAAAAATTGTTAAATTCAAAGCGCATCACAAACGGTTAGAGATAGATATTCCTTGTCAGACCGTTTTGGATACTGTCTGAAGAAACGAGTATTCTCAGTTTCACTTCTGCCCTTTCACTGAATAAGCTTATTAATTTTTCGCCACAGCAAGTACTATATTTGGAATTTTTGAGGTTTATTTGCTTCTGTTGTAGTAAATTTGCTGTGCTTCTTTCAGTAAATATTAATGTTTTCGAATCTGGTGCGGATGGATTAAAGTCTCATTTTTTAGATATCCTTCATACAATAGATTACGTTCTTGAGGATGATGTTGTGTTACGAATTGCAAGGAAAAAAGAGGAACAAAAATGCGTATTACAAGTAGTATGTACATTCGAATTATTGTCGTTTAATTATCATTTCGAATCGTTCTTCTAAAAAAGTGTTTGTGAATTACCTTCCCATTGTTTGATATAAAAACATTTCATTTGTTGATTTTCATCGCCTTGTTTACTTCTTATCTCCTCCTTTTCCGGGAACAAACAGCGCTGAAAGAATTGCTGAAGTCGCCAGGAAAATGTATGTTTGTTTAACTTCGCTTATTCGGTTCGGACTGGATGCATTCAATCTTGTTCATTTGAGGAAAGAAGTTTTTCATTTCGCTTATATAAAATTCTTATTTGAATTTAACGAGGAATATGACTTCAATTTGAACATCGATGATATTGATAACCACTAGTCCGAAGAAGAAGGAGATTTGCTTTTGAAATTTCTTCCTCAATTAGTAGAAGTTTATGTATTAGAAAATAGCCTTAAGGAAACGTAAATTGTAGTTGCAGAATAAGTTTTCTTTGGTTTGTTTAAAGTAGATTGAAGTTTCGCCCGATTGATCTAGCAAAAAATGATTGTTCTCGTTTTGAGAGGCACAGATGTAGCAGCAGTCGATATAAATATGGGATGTCCGAAGCCGTTCTCTCTTATGGGTGGAATGGGCGCAGCGTTATTAACTCAACCAGATAAAGTAAAAGATGTATGTGGATTCTTCACAATGAATATTATCCAGTTATCAGATTCATGATACTTCATATTCACTCTATTCATTAAGACCGTATTTACTCTTCCCTTAAGGTATGTTTTAATTTTCCTGAGAGATTTTGTTCACTTTGCAGATCCTAACTTCAGTTGTGAGCGTTTCATCGGTTCCTGTCTCTTGTAAAATTCGTGTTCTTGAAAAGGTGAGAGATTTTTTATCTATCTTATAGCAAATTAATTGTTGTTGAGTATTTAACTTCATTCACTGCTCATTCATAAAGGCGAATGTGATGTGCTAAAATTGGTTGAATGCCTTGAACAATTGCAGCGTGAAGAGACACTCGAACTGGTGAAGCTCATTGAAAGGTGTGGTGTGAGTGCATTAGCTGTTCATGGTCGACGGAAGGACGAACGTCAGGCAAACGCAAATCGAATTGATGAAATTCGCGAAATTGCTGGAATACTTTCAATTCCGGTTATTGCAAAGTAATTGAAGTTCGTTGTTGTGTCTCCTTTTTTTACTATCAGCAATCTGAGTTCATTAAATTTCGTATCAATGAATGTTGTATTATTTTGCAATTGATCTGTATGAGTGTTTGCTGAATTTTACTATACCGTTAATGAATTAGTGCTATCAGTCAGTGGATCCATGGCTGATTGACTGACTGAGAATTGTTCGTTTGTTTGTAGCGGAGGTTCGGGAACAATAAAAGAATTTGCTGATATTGAACGCTTCCGGTTGGAGAGTGGTGCAAGCAGTGTCATGATAGCAAGAAAAGCTTTATCGCATCCGAGTGTTTTCCGTTCAAATGGGTTGTTGACAATGCAAGAAGAAATTGAAGACTTCCTCCGATTGGTAAGTGAAACTTCAAGAATTCCTGAATCATTTCGAATCTGTCTTCATGCATTTACTGTATGTCAGATAGTATTGGTTGTATTTAAAGGTATTGTAGGCATGTGAGTTCGATGAAAATTTCACAATGACAAAGTATGTGGTGCAGCGAATTTTAGGCAGTCAACAGGTCAGCAGTGATTTCATTATGTACTTAATTAGTGCAGAATTATCAACAAGCAGTGACCTGCTTGTTGATAATTCTGCACTAATATCGACAATATCGTACTCACAGATATATCTACCTTCTTCTTTATACCAGTTGCATAGCAAGTTTGTGAATGATAGGAATTCGATGAACGCGGTCGTGCCACAGTGAATGCAGCAAGCGTGTCAGACATTTGCGATGCTTGGTCAATGAGAGATGTTTACGATGAATGCAAAAGCGATCGTCAACGACGAACTGTCAAACGAAAATTTGAAAGTGTTGGAACGGATTTGCCTACCGAACTGGCAATGTCACCTGAGAGTGACATTCATTTCATCGATCTTACATTCCCACCGTTAGCTGCATTTCTGAAATTACTTTGTTAGCTGAATTGTGTGAAAATAGATAATGTTTATCGTAATTAAGAAAATTATGGAAAACAGAAGGAAAAGGAATATACAAATTATGAAGGATGCTATTTCTTCGGAAAGTTTAAAAAAAGTAAGGAATGAAATGTTAAATGGAAGAAAAGGAATGATTGAAGTGGCAAGTAATAGTGGAGAGATAACGCACAAAACAAGGGAAATCGGTGACGCCGTAGGCTACTTCTGTAACAACTTATATAGAAGTAGAACGAACGTCACCTTACAAATGGAAAAACAGAATAATGATTTTGCACCAGTTCTGGAAGGAGAAGTAGAACATGCAATGTCACAAATGAATGTAGAAACTTCGGCTGGACTGGACGGCATAACTGCAGAAGCAGCTAAATTAGCAAAAGATCAACTCGTTCTTTCCCTCACCCGTCTTTTCAACAACATCATCAATGACACAGCGATTCCAAATGGCTTCGATGGGAAATCAAATGACTGGTTGAGAGGAATAACGAAAGTTAGAGACTTTGTAAAATGTGCAAGGGAATGAAAAATTAACTGGGCAAGAAAAACTGCAACAATGGACAATAACAACTGGGCGAAGAGGTGCACAGAATGGCAACCTGGAATTGGAAAAAGAAGCTGAGGTCGATCGAAAATGAGATGGCGAGACAATATATGCAAAATAGCTGGCCAGCGATAGATAAGAAGAGCAAATAACTGTGATAATTGGAGTGATCTTGAAGAGGCTTATGTACGGAACGTACGATGAATAGCTGAGTAAATAAATAAGTACAGTTTGGTATTTTTGGTGGAAGTAAATAAATATATAAACATCATTTGCTATGATTTGATCGAGTAAAACAAACAGTCGTTCAGATGTTTTTGTTTTAAGGAAACGTTTACGAAATAGATGTGGTGCCGATACCCCAAAGTGTGTTTTGAATGCTTTATGTGATGAAAATGGTATGAAACGACCTATTTACACTTGTGTATGTTCTATATTACATTCGGTTGTTGTATTTTGAACTGCGGCAAGTTATTGGTCGATTAGCTTCGAACTCATATGACGTTCATGAACCTCTGTGTCTTGGATTGGAATGCATCCTTAATGTTTTGAAAGGAATTCAAAGAGGAAGAATAAAGTTTTCCTGACATTATAAAGCATCATTCGTTGTTTTGCAAAAAAAAACAACAATGTAGTGCATTTTTCGGTCGTTCTTGGTCGACGTACGTGATTTCTTCAGTGATATTTTGTTCGGAGTGCAATACTTAGACACAGTAAGTGTCCGATTTATTTAACGAATTCATTCACTATTTATTCTTTTAGAAACTCCGTTCCACTGATAAACGTTATGAAGCTTTGATTGAAGTTGATGGGCGCAAATTCCTTTCACGAATTGGACAGCCAAATAAGAAGATGGCTGAGCAGGTGGGTGGTGGTTGATGGATTTTCGATTTCATGATATTTTTTTATCAGATCGTTGAATGCAGTGAGCTGATGAATCTAAAGTTGTGATGCTGAATTATTTGATGCAGTCTTATTCAGTGTTTGTAACGAAGTTACAAGTTTTTAACAGCATGAAGTAATAGTTTTTGTAATGTTGCGTAAATTCTGTTCGCTGCTTTCTTATGCATTTCCGTATGTATTCCTTCTATGAATTATGATGAATTTGGTCTCGTATTTTCAAAATTATTTTTTGAGAATTTTTTCCAATATTCATTCAAACTCTGGAATTTTAGGTGGCTGCATTAGTTGCACTCGTTGGATTAAACGAAAGGACGAAATTATCTGGAAATTGGGAAGAATAATTAATTCATTCAGTGCGTGTTTTTCCAGGGATTTCAATAAGGTTCATTGAGTTAGTATCATATACTGCATAGTATAAGTTGTTGTTTGGCTTGATACAAATTCGTCAATTTAGTCGTTTGAGTGTTGTAACGGGATAAGTACTTGATTGATGAGAATACTTCTGTTTGACTGAGATGACAACGACGTTCTCATAATACGTAATAACAGTAATTGTTAGAAGCTACTAAAAATTTGACTCTTCCGTCAACTGATCAAACTGATGTAACGATGCACTTTGTGGTCTTTTATCCGATCGAATTTCGTTCACTTGAAGCGACATTTCGTTGCATAGAGGAGATGCTTATCCATCTCATCACTGATATGATGCCACCATTTATTATTCACCTAGTCTGTCATATTTCCTCAGCGATACTCGCTGCCAAATAACTTATATCGTTCAGAAATAACTTGTAATACTAACCGTGCTAAAATTTCGAGTTAGTGAGCAGAAAGAAAATTATCTAAAATGATTCATATAGAATTAATGTGATCAAACGTCATTCAAACGATAAATAGTCAATCCTCATTGCAGCTAGCACCTATCTATCTATCGTCATTGAGTGAATAATGCTAAAAGGATGTTTCATCCTCAGTTTTCCAATGAGTAAGCATCATTTTCGAAGTAAAATGAGGAATACTCATTCAGTTGATTATTTGCATATTCGTTGTCACTGTCATTCCAATGAAATATAAAGATTAACATGTTCGCTAATATCAAATAGTGTTGTGGTCATTGTTCAGTAATCATATATTATCAGATACACGTTTGATATTTTATATTCAAATTCTATTGGTTAAGCTGAATATACCTCATGAAAACATTGTGATTACATTTTACAATGTAATTTGTTGAGATAATTGTTGATGTTTGTTATGCCACTGCATAGGGGCATCTGTTTTCTATAGCTTTAAATTTCTCATAAAACTTATATACGTAACACTACTTGAATATAACACTGAATATAAATTACGAAACTAGCCTTCGTATCGATCGCTGTCTGGAGGACAAGTGGATAAGCGGTGTACAGTAGCTGGCTAGATGAAATATTCGTCGTTTGATAGTAACTGAAATAGAGAAAGATGCAGTACGTTTAAATGCTATTATACCTGGACGGGGTGGTTTCAACAACCGATAAAATATACGTAACGTTTTTAATTTCATATCAAAGCGATTGAATTAACTGAGAATTTGACTGTGGTATTGTGTGTCAAAAAATAATGAGAGAGGATGGCGGTGAATGATGTATGTTCATTAGTGAAGAGAGCAGTGGAGATGTGCACTTGTGCTGAATGTAGATGTGATATACACACACAGTCAGTGTCTTTCTTGTTTAGAATAGTTTAAGTCGTTCGCTGGATGATCGCAGGTTATTGATATAGTGTACTATTGCGATGTTGGAATTGTCAAATGATGAAGCAAACTGACACAATAAAACTGTTCATTGTGAATTGCACCTTTTCCCTTCGATTTAACGAAACGATTCGCATCTTCACTGCTTATCAAAGTAAGTTCCATCGATGAATTGATAGAGCGGATGCACTCTCGAGCGAATATATGTGTATGATGCATTAGTGTTTGGCGCTGTTGCCCGCAGATTGTTGCTTATCATATTTTACATTCAGAAACGTATTTTATTGAATGCAAATGGAAGTCTTGCGTGCTCACGTTATCAGCTGAAACATTTAAAATACATACTGCATGTCAATTCATGCACTCATTCAAAATATCATTAATTATGTTTGCATGTGAGTTAAATGAAATAAATTAAAATAATGCAAATTTTAAAAATTAAAAGACATTTCACAAGAAGGAGTAAATGAATGTCATGGGTACAGGAACGAAGAGACTGAATGAGCAAGTAAATATATTGAAGTGTATGCATAGCCCTCATTGATCATATTGGTGAATTCATTGATCATGTTGATATGAACTGAATGATAGATCTTGTGTTCCACACACATGACTGCATGAGCGTTTTCTGAATATATTTTGTTGTTTTTAAACTACAATTCAGCTGGAATTACATCACGAAAAAATGTTCTGTAATCATTTGCACTTAGCATTACAATTTCATGCATCATTTTCAAAATTGTCAGCAACTGAAAATCAAAAGCATCAAACAAACGAACAATACTATCCGCTGCGAATGAACCCTTTCATAATAACATTCTATCGTCATCTCAGTCTGTATCAATTTCTTTCTCATTTAATCAACAATCTTCATTATCAACAACTTTCACTGCGTTTTTTTGCAATCAATCATTAAAACGTTCATTTCGTTCATTTCCCGTTAAGAAACAAAAATCACATACAAATTCTTACAAATTAAACGTTGAAAGCGTCCCAAACGGGATTAATTCATTCTACGTTTTTTTTTTCGAAATATTTTCCTAAATTTTTCGAAATATTTCCTCAGTAATGATTCGTCATTATCAAGATTTATAAATGATTCATCACCGGATGCACAAATCGCATGGGTGGACAAATGCAACGGGTTCATGAGCGATTGAATCATCGTGAGTGAAATCTATTCGCATACAATTTGAAAACTTCAACGAATATATTCATGTAATTTTCTTATTAATAGCGCTAAAAATTAATTCAACATGAAACGGTCAATTGTAGAGATAGCTTTGCATCTAGATTCAGAGAATAAGTTTCGTTCTTCTTCGTTGTTAACCGTCTTTAGGCAAGCCGCAACCGAAAAAATTCACTGTATCTGCACTGAATTGTTATTGTACTGAAGTTTATTGATTTGCTAAAAAAGTGGCGGGCGACAGAGAAAATCTGACTACAGATTCGAAATCAGCATGCTCGATCACGTGAAGGGAGCGTATTGTTGAGCATGGATTAGGGAAACAAAAATTTGTTGGACAACGTAACTAAAAATTGTGCATGGTGGTTTCGTTAACGTCACACTTACATTCATATTTACATGAATCGAAGGATTTGAACGATCATGAAATTTCGTTTTGTTGATGACGATCATTGTCAACGTTTGTATTATGAACTTTAATCACTGGTTAGTTATACGAAACTGTTTCTGTTATTCACATTATTTATTTTCGTAAACAATTTCAAATACAGTGCAACGATACGTTGTGTGTTAACTGTTGAATACGTAGACACATCAATCCAACAGAAGAAAACGACTATTTATCATTTTTCCAGCAGCGGGGTATGTAATGAAGAAAGGTTGAGAGAATTTTAAACTACCCTTCAGAAGTTCTGTGCAATATCAGGCGTAGGATTTTCTGCTGGCGAAAGTTCCTTTTGAATATGAATCTTCTTATTCTCATTGGAATCATTAGTTGCACTTTTGTTTCGGGTAATCAATCGATAAATAACTTCTTAAAGTTAGAATTAATGTTCATTCGTTAAGATACGAATTATGCACCATCCCAATGTGCACAAACCCTCAAAAACGTTGGTGGTCTTAGGCATTCAGTCCATCACTGGTATTATTGTTTTCATCTAACATCAAACAAAAAAGCATCTCATGCTAAACGGTTTATCGATGTTGAATTATTGCTGAAAGGTTGGTATCATTGGATGAATGAAGAATACATTTCTTCATTCAGCATTGGAACTTTAACGTATTTGTATTGATGATTTTTTCTTTCCTCAATTATTTTAATCTCAAACGGTACGGATCCGGAAATGTTTTTTCGATTTCTTTTCTTTCTTAATACACGATGAACGAGCATGAATTATTTGGATCCAACGCCGCCACTACATCACTAGATGGTGAGGTGAAATAAGTGTGTTCGTTTGTTTTAGAGAAAGAAGAATGACGAGAAGTTGGATGAAGTGCGCCCGAATATATATCTGTTATTGGGATCGATGACTTTTGATGTCGTTTCATTGGATGAGTAATTTTTTTCGTTGATGCGAACGCGTGATTAGACTGGCTCGGATCGACAAAGCCCCATATGTTTTGACTGTTTAAACTATCAACAACAAAATCTTGAGAAATCGCTATCATATTATTTACGCATTTACATGCGGAAAGCTAATGTCTGATATTTCATGCGAACGTGAACATTTCGGTACACTGTAATGCAAACACCAATAATTATAAATACTAAGTGGTTACTAGTTACGATCGATCAACCTCAAGTGTTGGTCACTATTCTAACAGTTAACGTGTAGTATTAAGCATCAACATACCAATCTCATCATCACCAATCTAAAAATAACATGTTTTTGCTTGTTCGTGCAAATAAAATTTATTGCTGTGTTCATATCGTATCAAAACAGTTACACAACGGATGGCTCAACAAAACGCAGAGAGTGAAAGCGCAAAAAGAGTTTACCAGCTGACGTAGGTTGTTGTTTACCAAATTCAAAAATCATCTTTATCACTTAAAATGTTCTTAGTGAAGTATACCTGCCAACCACTGGAATACATCATCAGTTGAATGTGGTAATAAACTGTTAGTGCTTTCATGTCAAACTTTTGTTTACTAAATATGATGAAAGTAAACATTACGGTCATCGTTTCCCAAGTATTCCCAAAAATCATCAAACATTCTCTCAGACAAAAAAGCTGTGTAACTAAATATTTTATGCTGCAAATAATATGACAATGATG